TTCCTTTGGATAATTTCCAGATCCACACCTGCACCTGATTTCTTTCCTAAGCCCGAGACCTGTGTTTCCACCTGCTGGCAGGATTTCAGTATTGACCCCAATTCAAAATTGATGTGCCCCAAAGCAAACTCGTCTTCCTTCCATTACACTCGCTTCTTCCTTTTTTCCTACAATTTCTTAAATTCATGAGCATCCTCCCAGGTAGCCAGGATCAAAGCTCTCGGGGCGTCCCCCTTCCCTTCACCTCTGTCCCATGAGCCCTACTTGTCTGCTCCGTGACATCTCGACCTCCAGTCTCTCCACCCCTCCTAGACTTCCTAGCTAGACTTCTGCACCCCTTCCAAAGAAATCTACTGCAAGTTTCTTCTAATACATGCAGCTGATCCTTCTTGAGCACCACATGCTCCCAGAGCCTATCCCAAGTGCCTCTCTGCAGGACTCTCCTGCGCGGGCCCAGCTCCCTGTGAGCTGAGTTTGTGCAGAGCAGGTCTTCATCCATCTCTGGGGAGCGAGTTGGCCAGTGTGTGCTCTGTGTCTGCCAGGCATTTCGGGGCTGGAATTTGGGACTCTGCTCTGAAAGCCAAAGGCTGTAAGTGGCTTTCTCTGAATGCCTTTGAATAGCTGAGTAGATCATCCTGGCTTTCAAAAAGAAAAGCATTCTTCATGTTTTTACAGGTCACCAAACCTGTTTCCTTGTTTCTGAAGAAACAGGGTAGCCTGGCTTTGGCCAGGATAGAACAGTCCATCCTCCTCTCGGGGGTGTTTCCTCAGGAGAACGCAGCATTTGGATACGGACAGGTGTGCTTACTGAGCAGGGGTTCAGCCTCGTCGTGCAGGGAAATGTCCTGGTAATTTTTCTGCCCTAAGGGCTCCCACTGCTGATGGAAGCATAGGACAACTTAACATAGAACTGCAAAGGAAAAGCCTGGTGGCTGTGTCAACGAAGTACCAAATTTGGGGGGAATTTTAGGTGCACAGTAAACTTTAGATTTTTTTTCCATTAATAACAGTCATTTAAAATAGTATCACTGGGGGGCGCCTGGGTGGCTCAGTTGTTAAGCGTCTGCCTTCGGCTCAGGTCATGATCACAGGGTCCTGGGATCGAGCCCCACATCAGGCTTCCTTCTCAGAGGGGAGTCTGCTTCTCCCTCTCCCTCTGCCCCTCCCTCTACTTGTGTGTGGTCTCTCTCTGTTAAATAAATAAAGTCTTTAAAAAAAATAGTGTCACCGAACAAAGTCTGGAGTTTACTTGGTAACTTAGCCATGTGAGTTTCTTAGTTCAGACGGACAGAAGAAGCTGACATTAAGGGAAAGGCAGGCACGAAGGGCATGCAGAAACTCTATTGTTGTGGTAACTTTTCTCTAAAGCTAAAATTATTTCAAAATAAAGTTAACATAAAAAATGATCAGCTCCCCACCCCCCCTTTCTGTGGATGGTGCCGAACACCAAGCCCTTCACTAATACAGTCTCATTTAGTCCGTGTGACAGCCGTACGAGGTAGAGCCTGCACTGCACATGTGACAGATGAGGCATGAAGCTCTGCAAGGGCCCCAGGCAGCTGGAGAGAGACGTTAGCTGGTGGTGTTACCATGAGTGTGGACCCAGTGAGGACACAGCCATCCCAGTCTGCAACCAGCCAGCCCGGGTTTCCCATATCACAGACTGAATACGCACATGCATTCATATACCTATACACCTACATCTATGTGGCCTGTCGGTCAGGAACTCAGTGTGAACTCCTTTTCTTAATAAACCTGTGTTCCATTCTTCTCCTTAAACATATTCACTCCCGGGCCATCTCTGCTGTGCAGGCATCAATGGCCCAGAGGTCCTTCGAAGCAGAACTGGCCAGTGATGCCCTGGGGCTCATGTGGGATATGGCCCACCACTCATCCATGAGAAGGCCTGGCCCTCCTTCTCCATGCCTGCCTCCCCCACCTGCCGAGATTGCAAGCCCCCAGTGGGCAAAGCCTCACACTCAGACACTAGGCTCGCTCACTCACTCACCCATCTGTGCAAGCATGCATGCATGCATTCACAAGAGTTATAACCAAAATACACATCAAAGAATCAGAGAATCCTAGGGTTGTAAGAGGAACTCCCTATCAGTTGCTCCAGAAAAGGTGTTCATCACAGTCATCTCAAGAAGTACGTCAGAAATACATTTCTGGGACTCCTTCCAATGTTCTGATGCAGGGGGGCTGCACGGGGACGGGCAATCTGTATTTTTTCAAACCCCCCACCCCCACCCCCAGGTGACCCTGAGGCACTGCCAGATTTGGGGTTTTGCCCAGTAGATAAATACCTTCTAAAAACAGTCAACCTCCGCTCAAGAAACTCCAAGGTAGAGGAGCGCACTACCTCATAAGGCAGTCTCTCACGGCTGTTACTGTTAAGAAAGCCTTCTCTATATTTAGACACGACGTCCCTCTCTGGAAATGTACCGTTTAAATTTTGTGCTCTGGTACAGTGAAGAAGACGCTCACTCCCTTTTCCACATGACCAGCCGAAAGAGAGCCAACATATATTCTAAAATCTTCTCTCTTCTAGGACAAATGCCCATATATCCAACACCTTTTTTTTTTTTTTTTTTTTTTTTAATGAAATGCATTCTCTTATTAACCTATGTGAAATGTGAAACTCAGAGCTGGGCCCAGTGTTCTGAAGGAGCCCTGAGCCTTGAAGGTTTCATTTGTCATACTCTAGTCTCTTTCATACTTAGGACAGTCAGGACAAGGGTTGCTGACCTTGGCTACACATTGGAATCACCTGGGAAGCTTTAGGAACCACTGATGATTATGTCCTACTTCTCAGAGATTCCAATATAATTGGTCTGGGGTTCTGGCTGGTTATCAAGATTTTTTAAAGGTTCCAGATGATTGGAAGGAGCAGCCAGCGTTGAGAGCTAGAGAAAGACGCCGGGTCTTCTCCACGTTATTCTATTGGCTCATACTTACACTCATTCACCCAGCCTTTTTGCCTTGAACCCCTGCCAAGCAGGTCTTCCTCGTCATGCACTTGAGGAAATGATTAGCTGACCTTAACAGCAGACTTTTCCATTTATTCCTGATAAACATCATCAATCTGGTTTGGGTCCACTGTTGCAAGGAAATGTCATGTCCTTGAGCAGCATACCGACTATCTGTTCTCTCTCTAGCTTTGAATCTTTTGCATGTAAAACATGAATAAAATTACAGATCTTTGAAAGAAACTCTACTGAAAATCCTCTGGGAAACAAACGATAGCAGCTGCTTTTTAGGCAATTGGATATTCTTTCACAGTTAAGGGCCGGATGCTAAAAATTTATGGTCACAGATAAATCCAAGAGCATCGCATTTATTCCTGAGTTCTCTGTGATGGCAGGAGCTAGCTGAAGCCACCATGCTGGGCTGCCAGGGTCCTGCTGGGGGCATTTCCTATGTGTTGACCTCCCCAACGTTACTGAGGTCAACTGCCATTATTTAGGTGGACACCAACTCAAGAAGCTCTGAGCCTACGGGAAGACTTAAGACTGTGTTAACACACATCTCACTGGCCACAAAACAAACTGAATTGATTTCTCCAGAGCTCTAACTTCTTTGACTCCACTATGAAAGCATCATCGAGCTTTGTAGGAATGATGAGGCAACATAATATGGTGGAATGCAAGCAAAAGCTTCCAGGTAAACTTTGTGAGGTAAAATAAGAAGTCAGATCCTGTAGAGTCTTTTTTTCATTTTAAAAAGTGTCATTTCTCTTAAATTCATACCACCAACCTAGAGTAAGACTCTCAAGTGGGGTTTCCAATCTTTCCCCACTTTCCATGAGGCTCTTGCTCAGTCCTGGCTGTGCTCCCCTCCCCGGGGGCCATCTTGGTCAAGCATCCCACTTCCTCCTACTGAGGGGCGAGAACTGCATGTGAATTATCCTCAAGCACACACATAGCTGGACACCCGAGCACATTCCCTTCATGACACAGGAGAGCAGCCCCGTGAACCTGTTCGGCTGACACTTGAATCCCATGGTCTGGGATCACCTGGGCCGAGACCACATCATCCACGGCTCCCTCAGGCCCCCAGTCGCTAAATGCCCTGAGACTACTTTAAAGCAAATTCTCCCCTACAGTGAGGATACAATATACAACAGCATCCACCTCTGCCGAAGACACAGAAGCCTCTTGCTATTTTCTCCTGGAATTTTTAAATACATGCTTAGTAGACAGTCAACTCCCCAAGTGTCTACATAAAACGGTCTTTAAAAAAAAAACCCTAAGAGTTTTCTGTAAAGGTTCTATTTTAGGGAAAGGTATACTAGATTTTGCACCCTACAGAACACAAAGTGTTTCCTGACTTTTTGCACCATCTTCTTCTTCCTCCCAGGTTAATGTTTTATTTGGTATTAAATGGACAATATTACTTTGAACCAATCTATTCATGGACATTTAGATCATCTGCAATCTTTTAATTCTAATGTGGCTATCTCTGTCATGTCATATCACATTATAAATGCATCCTTAAGATCAATTCCTTGAAGTGGGATTCAAGGTGCAAGTGCATGGCCCATGGGCCCTACGTTTTTCTAAGCACTTTTTCAACACCGTGTAATATAAATCTGAGAACTGTGTGAGACACACAGATACTTCACAAAGGACTATAAAGCAAGCATCAGTGAACTACCACCAACACCCCTGAAAGTCCCTCCATGTGCCTCTATTCCTTAAAGCCCACATCGGCTTTCCAGAAGTACCTACCATCTCTATTTTGTGAGATTCACTTACTTGTAAGAAAACATGTGTTCTGAAGAATTGTAAACCAAAGGGAACAAAAATCCAGGGTGACATCTAAATACCCACAGAATTGCCCTGAAAACCATTTTTTGAGACTGGCTCCTCTTAAGCCAGGTGCTTGACTTTATCTTTGGGCATGATAGCTGCATAAAAGGAACCACCCGAAAACACGAGGAAGAGGGGGAGAGAGGGGCCGTGGGGACACATGTAATTGTTAAACATCATTGTGCTCACCACAGGGCTAGTCGTTGTTCAGTTTCCTTGAGAAAACTTGTATGAAATTTGTGCAAAGGTTCAAAATTCGGGAATATGAGACTTTTCAAGGCTTCGGGCATGGCGTCCTCTTTGCTCACCGTGCTCTGAAACCACTGGAATAAAAAGACCATACACAGGGACACATGAATGGTGGCAACTCGTCAGAAGTACTGGCGCAGCCCAGCGTGCTTGGAGGACACAGGGCTTTCCTGCTGAATCTGCGGCATTCAGGAGCACCAGGGCCCTACTGCTGTTCCCTTCTCCCATCGATGGGGTGAGAAGCACCCAGCTCATTATCAGGGCTTCCCCCAACTTGTTACCAGTGGATTGTTGAAGCCAGGAGAAATCTCTGAAATGGGCAGCTACTTCAAATCAGAACTTGCATTTTGGCCAACCCACTGGGTCACCACTGGTTTAGACCACCGCACACCCTCTGGTTCGATCCGTCAGGAACATCGATCTCTGCTCCTTTGTGAAAATGCTGAGCACAGAGGAGGCTGTGCCAGTGAGAGAAAGCTGCTCGCTGCCTTCACACACAGTTACTCACCCTGCTGCGCTGAGGCAGGGCTGTCCCACGGTGTTCACCGAGCACCTGTGCGAGCACCTGCTCAGGGCCAGGTGCCATTCACATGCCCCAGAGGCACAGAAGCCTTCCGACTTCCCCTTCCGAAGTGCCCCAGAGGCACTTCCTACCGACCCTCCAATGGCTAGTTCTTTCCCAGAATCCAGGGATCATAAAGCCATCTGCGATGCTTTGAATTTCTTTCCAAGACCGAATAGGACTGATTAAAATAATAAAAGGCAGTCTTCTGGCAGATTTGCTGACATGGCTCAATTTATTACCAAGGCTAAAATGAGGCTTCTATTCACCTCTGGGGTCTTCCTCAAGCAGAAGTAGCTACATTTGATGCCGGGCAAAACACGAACTATTCTGCCTGGGTGCAAAGCAGGAAGTAAGAGGTTTAATTTTCTCCACTTTAGAAACTTCCTTCCTTTGCGCTTAAAAATCACAATTATAAAAATTTTTATAGAGCATGTTCCAAATTAAATATACTATTACCGTCTAATTTCTATAACCCAGGACCAAATCCTTTTAATTGGAGGCAGAGAGCCCAATATTTAATTAGATCCAGCTCTTCTCTGAAAGCTACATCGGAGTTGAGATAAATTATGTAATTGAATGCTTTAGGGGAAATGCTGCACATACCGAAGTGATGACCTCAAGATCCTTCAGATATGTTCTTTCGGTGGTGGATACTTCCTTAGCAATGAAGTACGCCTTGTCCGTTGGGAATCTCTGCAAAATCCACAGAAGAAACAAGACGTAATAATAATCTTTGAGCATAAATCTCTAAGAATGTCCTGATTCAAGTGATACATTGCTAATTTACGATCTTTTGTTAACGGGGCTCAAGGCTAAAGAACCTCTTACTAGTTCTCCTTTTTGTGTGAGGAACTAGGAGAAGAGAATGGATTCTCACGATGAGGAAAGAGCCTGGGAACGTTTCCTTCCACATAAATCTTACCCTCAGAGGCCTCCAAGGAGTATGTTGGTCACTACGGAGGGCTATTCATTCAAAATTGGGCATCCGAAAATCTAACCAACTAGTAAGACATCAGAGCAATGCAGCCTTCCAGGAAATCAAAGAAACAGAAACCACAGCGGCCTTTGTCCCGGGAGCGGGGGGCTGGTGGTGGTGGTGGTGTATGGGAAACGGAAGCTAGAGTGTCCGTGGAAATACACAGTGGCTGAGCTAAGGGGACGAGGTGAAAGCAGCTGGTGACACCACCGGTTCCTTGGAGGCCGTCGCTTAGGTGAGCAGGCACCTCTCTACAGTGAGTCAGCCACGGGTTTTGCTTTCTCTTTAAACAGTAAGTAAAAGGCAATTCTTGTTGCTAGCCATCTTGCTTGCTTCCACAAGAGTCCGCCCAATTCCACCTTCGGGGATACACAGGAGAGCACGGAAATCGGAGACTTGGACACCCGGACACCCGTGTTTCCAGCAGCAGCGTTCGACATAGCCGAAAGGAGTGAGCAACCCAACTGTCCACCAACGGACAGGTGCATAAACACACTGTGCTCTGCCCACACGATGGGGGGTGATTCAACCTTAAAAGGGAAGCTCTGACCCGCGCTACAACGTGGAAGAACCTTGAGGACGTGATGCTAAGTGAACGAAGTCAGACACGAAAGGACAAATACCGCAGGATTCCTCCTAGACGAAGTACCTAAGCAGTCGAACCCAGAGACAAAAAGCAGAGTGGTGGTTGCTGGGGGCTGGGGAAAGGGGAGGGATGGGGATTTCCTGTTTAATGGGGACAGTTTCAGTTTGGAACAGTGACAAAGTTCTGGAGATGGATGGTGACAATGGTTATATGATCCCGTGGATGTCCTTAAGGTCACTGAGCAATATGCTTAGAAACGGTTAAAATGGCAGGTGCAGTTGTTAACCCCGTTAACAACTGCAGTTAGAAAAAAAAAAAAAGGAACGCGTGTGCATGCAGGTCCCCACACCTTTCTCCGGCCTTCCTCCTCGTCGTCGGTGCGTGGGCACACCTGGTCATTCAGCAGCGGGCTGACCAAGGGGGAGGCCTGCTTGGTGTCAGGGCTCAGGTTGGGAGACAAGATCACGCTGGCGGGCACAGCTCCTCCCTGGGAGTTGATGGACAGCTCTGAAAGGTGAGGGCTACCAGTCAGGGAGCCTATTTGAGGATGAGAAGTATTAGAGAGAGAGAGAAAAAAAAGTAATTCCTTCTGGGACCGGACTGCTACTTACAATTTTCCCCCATATCAGATCAAATCTTTGGAACCTTGACTACCATTCTGCGTATTGAATGTGCTTCACGATTTTCTAGTTTTTCTCTGAATTGCAGCTGCCTTCATACTAAAGATACCATAGTGGGAACGAGTCAATGGAGCCAGAGTTCTGTGATTAATAAGGCAGAGAACTCTGCTCAGGGAATGTTTAGAAGCACAGTGGATCCCCAAACAGGATCTTCATCTCCTTACTACTGCCTTAGCTTCTATGAATTATTCCAGAAAACAGTGACTATACCACCAGGAGACATGAAAAAAGACTAAAAAAACAGAGCTATTCTAAAAGGAAACTAAATGACTGATGTACCCAGGACAGACTACACCTTGTAACAACGGGTCACAGCGAAGGAAAGGACGAGAAGCTAACTCCCCATTCTACCAAGAACAGAAGCAAGCTTATTATACCTGGTGATGGCATTCCGTGTCTCTCTCACTGTTTGGGACAGAAACACTAGCACCACATGCAAAGCTGGAAGTCATTACATTATCACAATTCCCCTTGATGAGTCAAAAAGTGACAGGTCATTAATGATTCCTCTGCAAAGGATACATTAAATAATGTGAAAATGTATCGTTACCCCATTATACGTCAGCCAAAGGAGAGGATGTGTACATGCAACATTTTGCCAACAGAATTTTGCAAGTCTCGAAACCTCACCCCGTTGAAGCCAACCGGGACATTTCAGAATATACTTCTACCTGCGTGTTTTCACCTAACACGTTTGTAATTCTAACACAGGTTTGCTAGGGCTAGCGCGAGGGTAAACAAAGTTCTAGTAGCCTGCAGTCCCGTCTGTTACCATTATTAAGGAAAGACGATGTAAAATGCTTTTCTCATTTTCCAAAATGCGGTTTCAGCTCATGGCTATTCCGCACACGGACAAGGATCTTGGGGAGAAAGGTGAAGTGCCATTTTCTGGGCATACCCCCATTTTCTTGACAGCTACCCTCTCCCTCTGGATTCATCCATACCCACTTTGAAATTACAAGATGGGGATGGCCTAGAATGGAGGGTAGTGAACTTGATTACAGTAGGAATGAACCAACCATGAAAAACCACCAGCCCCCGCCCCGCCCCGCCCCAGCTGGACCAGCTAGCGCTGTTGCCAATACATGCAGGAAAAGCCAGCACACCCAGAAGAGCAGCCGAAAAGCAGATGTCCTGCTACAGGACTCTGGGTCAGTACGACGATCCCCGAAGAACGAGATTTGAAGACATGAGCAAGATTAAAGAAGTCTGCGTTTTGAAAATCCCTCCATGGAAATCCTGGCATTTTTTAATACGCATCACTGTTAGACAAAGACCCGTGCACCCCACACACCACCAGACCCAGCGAAACCCGGAGAAAAAGGCCAGAAATTGCTTCACAAATGTCAATTTTATTGACACTAGTGCACAACCGAATACAATGATTTTGAAAGAATTGGAACTTGTCAAATAGAAATAGTGACAACAATTAGAACCGTTCGCAAATGTTTCAAGGTACTACACTATTCTCTTCTTTAAAAAAAAAGTCACAAAAAGGAAAAGTGTCATCACGACAAATAGGAAATAGAAAAGAGAAATTCTGGCAGTCTAGAGATCCAAACATTTCATGCATTTGTGAGTCACTGTATCAGAGTCGCTTTTTTATTTGTCCACCATGATCTGGCAAAATGTGGGGCTTACCTTCAGCTCTCACACTGTGCGTGAAGTCAGGTGAGGCAGTTCTAAGTGAGAGCATGCAGGGCCTCGGTTTTGCAGTGATGCGGAACAGAAAAAGCACTCACCTCATCAGTGAGAGTTGGAGCCAAGAATAAAAAGCAGTTAGAAGGCTGGCTTGTGGGAGGAGTGAGGGGTGGGGAGGAGGGTGGGGAAACAGTATCAATCAGGCCCTGGACAGCATCCCGCAGCAGATAATAAACCACCTGCCCCAGTGGGAGGGAGAAAATGAGGGTGGCCCCCGTCAAGCACAAGCATTTCTACCCTCCAAAGGTCAAAAGCTGTTTGTGAGGTGCCCCTGGGGACGCTTCTAACTTTGTAGACTGGAAGGATGAGAAGACAGACCAGGGTGCCAGGAGACATCTGTCCTGCAGAGAGGACAGGGCACATCTCAAAGAAAACAGCCATCTAGAAGAGTCTACACCAGACCACGTCAGAGACAGGATTCAGAAAATGGGATAATAATGGCAGGGAACTTCATGACGACCCATGTTCCTGGGTCGAGGAAAGGACAGCTCTGGGTCAGCCACAGGTTGCTGGGGGACATTCACTCACGTAGCCTAAAGATGTGGGTGACCAGCAACTTCACACGTGCAACACACAGACTCGGGGAACAACCCAAATTAGGGTTGCCAATTTCCATTTCCAGAGTGGCTCCTTCCACTATCTTTATGTCTACTCCTAGGGCCTGAGACAGGAAGGCTGATGGGTATATTGAACAGTGGGACCAATAAATCAATAAATACCAAGCAGCCCGGTCTAGAAATCTATCCACAATTCTACAAAAGGGGAAGGTCCAAACTCTGAAGTTCAAGTTTGCTCATTTGAGCTGCGTCCATGGAGAGTAGCCCTTTTCTCCCCTTGCAGGCCAAACTACTTGAGACTTTGAAAATTTAGAGGTGACATGGTCCAAACCAAACTAGGTAGCTCATTTGCCATTCAGCAATCAGTGAGATAAACTGATGAGGGTAATCAGTAGAATTTGGCAGCTTGATAAGAAATTAAAATGCTCTTCTGACTCTGGGAGCCAGAGTGCTGTGACAATTGTCTGTTCAAAAGTGGTGTCCACGTAGGGTCCACCCTCAGGCAGGTGTGAAGAGCTGGATCTTAGAGTCGGTATCTATGGTTACAGTTAATAGAACTACATGTAACCAATTTTCACTGAAGTAGTCCATTCCACAAACAAACAGGGTTGCTCTGTACGATAAAACCCGGCCCACTTATCTACCTAGCCTTATCAAGCCCGTTCAAATCATGCAGCTGGTTACCTGCTTTGAAGGCACAGCCCCAGGTGATGAGAAAAGGAAATTGTAACTGATGTTCAGGGCTACTCAGTGAAGTCATTAATGCCTGGGTATTTTTTTTTTTCCTCTGTACACACTGACACAAAGTAATTTCTTTCAGGGATGGGCTCTAGGTAAATAGTTTTGGGGGATCTTTTGAGAAAGCACCTGGATATTAAGGCAACAGGTGGAAAGAAGTTTCAAGAGATTAGAAAAACATCAGGTATACTCGAAAATCTGGAAGCTTCAGATTCTTTTAAAAATTTTTTCCTATTTCCAGAAATTGTCCTGCATTTTGTTAAGGTATTTCCAGTTAGTAACTCTCAAATCCTCTACCTCTTCCTTCACCAAATGATTTCCGGCCCCCCACCGTGACTCCCCCCCCCCCCCGCTAACCCCTAGCAAGAGGGCTGAGTTTATGTCACCCCTGTGGGCTGGAAAGGCCATCACAAATACTGCTCTCAAGAGAGGCATTTCTGGTAATTGCTTTTAAAAATCCTTTTAAATGTACACATTCTCATGGCACAAACAATTAAGGAACTTCAAATTAGCATGGCTGTATTTATGGATTCCAATTTATCACCTAGCCGAAAAACTGGCTTAGCTTCTCTGTCTTAATGTAAAATACATTCATAATTCTTCTCTCCTGGCTGCTCTGGGGAAGCACTGCAGCATCACCCAAACTATAGTATCTCTTGACCAGCCCCTTGTTAGAGGTACATCAACAGCGGGAACATGGTTTATGACCAACGAGCCAAACTCAATGCTCATCTTCCCCCGTTTTGGGATTGGGCACAGCTGCACTGTAATCTCCTCTGATTGTATTAAGGCTTAAGAACAAACACACATGTGTGGGAAAAGAATTTCTACTCTATTTTCCAAGTAATAGAAAATGGCATTTCGAATACTTAGTTGTACCTGTCCCATATTTTAAGTTGGTCAATACGCTGGTCATCTTAGTTTTAATTAGCTAAGCTGTTTTTCCTGTTAAGTGTTTAGAAAACCTGGTAATCGTTTTAAAAATAGTAACCCAGAGCAGGTATGTTAAATATTTGAGAATACAGATTGCTTTCTCAATTCCTCTTTTCAAAATAGAAGAGTATGCTGATTCTTCAACATTCCCCCCAAGAAAGTTACCTGGCAAGCTTCTAGATGCCACTCATCTATCATGATTTGTCTCCTGGTATTTGGTTCTAAAATACAGATTTTATCTCTACATACCCAGAATATGTTCCAAAGGCACATGTAGGAAATTCATTACAGATGTAGGTTTTCATGGATCTTTAAAAAGGCTCTTTTTAAATCCATCATCCCTCTCTAAAAAAGAATACAATGAACTCACGCTGGAGACTGTCTACATTTGAAAGCCAGTTATCAAAAAAGGTCAGTATTGAGCTGGAAAATGGGTAATCTACCGAATGGACAGAATTCACTAGTGTGATAACTCAGCTGGGTTCCCACCCCAGTGGAATATGGGAAAAAAGCTGACAATGCTTTATTAAAATTACAAGGTACCACAAGAAAAACTAGTCTACAGGATTACCATTCGTGGTGGTGCTGTCCTTTTCTTGTTAATGGAGGGTGTCGAGGGTAATGTGTGTATGTGCTTCTTATTCTCAGACCAAGGTCTTTGAAACAAAGTTTTACAAGCAGCTAAGCATCTACTTCGGTGTTCATCAACCAGCAACTCAGAAAAGCAACCGCAATGCAACTTGCAGAGAAATAGAGAAATGCCTACCAATGGAGCAATGACAGAGAATGTTCTAGTGCGCTCTTACTTGTGGAGAAAAGTTAAAGGAGAATTTCTCTTTGTTCAAACGTGGTGGCGGTGTTGGGGGCAGTGTCTGGGTTGGGGAACACGGTGCTTTGTACCCATGAAAAATACCATCTTGTACTCAGG